TCAGCAGGACAGCTGAATTAGCTTTTTGGTCAATCAGTTCATTTGCCAAAACATGCAACTTCCAGTTGACTATAACTGTTTCTTAATTTAACTTGATACAGGCAAATAGTGCAAAATTATGAGAAAGTAATAGACAAAGTAGTTCCATAACTTTAAATGAAACAGGAAAATCCTTCTTTGCTTCAAGAAAATTTTGCTAAAATGTGGAAAGTTAAGACCTGTAAGCAATACCATTTCCTCATAAATGCAACATCCTTGTTTAGCTAAAAGGAGTAATTTCCTGAGGAGTGCATTATTCTTATTTTAGAAAGAAAATCAAGATGGTTGCATTTCAGAACAATGCTCTGTGTGGAAGAGAAACAGGACAGTACTCGACATCATGCCCTGACATTCAAACACAAGCTTTAGACAACTCTATATATGACATTTTTTCATAGCTGGGGAAGGTGAACTGTCCCAGACTTAGGTATTCCTTTTTTCCCATTTTTAAACACCAATTCACTAAAATAGACATATATATACATGTATAAATATCTATATGTAAAGGACATATAGCCTACCTTCCTTTAAAAAAGGCAACATAAAAAATTGGTGCATAAGAGTTCACAAACTTCAGTAGGAATGCCTTCAAAATCAGTCTCTCTTCGAAGGTTTTCTCTGTTTTTGGTACCTCTGGGAAAAGGAACAAAAAATAATTAAAAAAAAGAGAGTAAGCCAGAGAAATCAGTCTGGATGTGAGCATCTCTGACAGCTGCAAATACAACATCAAACTGCAAACTTTGAGCTCATACTGTTTTTCATTTTGTACTTTTGATTTGTATCATTGCACATTAGCTCTGTCACTGATTCCTCATTTTCAGAGTCCTTCCAAATTTCCAGATGGAAATGGAACAGTCTTTGATAAAACATTAATAATGACAACACAGTGAACTTGATTCTCCTATAGGCCACTGACAGCTTATCCTAAGTCCCTCATGGCTGTTTAACCAACACCACAGTGGCAAAAAGTGCAACAGATCCTGACATCTGATCTGGACGTGACAACGTGCCACTTTTGTCCAGCCTCTTTCATTGCCTTGCTGAGACACCTGGGCAGACTACAGCACCTTCCTCTGCTTCAAGCTACATCTGTGAAAACTTAGCACAGACATCCTCTTGTAATTTACTCTGACATCTATTATATTATTAGCTGCGTAATATAATTAAATATAACATTAATATGTTAAATTCTATTAAATATAATGTAAATAATAATGTTAATATAAAAATGTACTGTTAATAATGTTAAATAATACTGTTAAATTAATAATAATAACAACCACAATAATAATAATTATTGCATATTTGCATGGTACTCTTACTAGCTCTCTAGAGTTTGAAGAAAAAATGATTGGCTTGATATTCAACTGCATACATGTATAAAAGTATAAAAGTAGTATAAATGGCTTTAATGTACATAAGCATAAGCATATTAACATACATAAGTACATCAGTTCACAACCGAAATAACAAAGAACTAATATTCTCAGTTTGTGAATGATGAAAGTGCCAAGACTTTAATCCAGAAAAAACACCTTAAAAGCCTTCTTAACTTTGTGTGCACCAGCCTTTTTTCTATAATACTGTTAATGTGCTTAACACTAAACACAAGACTAAATACCTTTCTGAATAAGGCATTAAGTGAATTGTTAATTGCCATACAAACCAAATGCACATTTTTGCTAACCCTCCTCCATTCACTATATGTATTCTACATTTCTAGACTTCTTCAGATAACTCATAAAAATGTCTTAAACATTTTCAGTATTTATTGCTCTGTTCAAAGATTTATTTCCAATTTCGACAAAAATTTTCAGGCAACAAAATACTTAGGTGTAAAACAGAGCCTTTTACAATTGACAGTGGGATCCTCTTTCAAAGATTCTATTTGCATTAAATTCTTTTATTTCCATGCTCATTCTGAGCTATTAAGTAATGTTAACTAATGTTAACATATGTGAGAGCAAACAATTTTATTGTGGTTTGTTCTTAACTGAATTTCTGTAGCAAAATATAAGTGTGAAATAATAAGGTAGATCCAGAGCTGTGGCTTTAAGAATTTCATTAAAATATTGCTGTACTTGTACAGTTTTCTTTGAGGACACAGTCTGGGTGTTTTGGTTGCTTTACAAAAAAAAACGTGTTTATGTGACCACTAAAGGAATAGCAAATCTCCAGTGACTCCTCACTGTCCAGCGGTATTTGTGATACTTTCAACCATATTTTCATAGTCAATACATAAACTGGTGAGCCCTAAACCATCATTCCCTTTTATATATAGAAAATCATAATTAAACCTTCAAAGGATTTGCACAATTTGTTAATGACCCCATATACTAAAGAGATCCTCAGAACAACAGCTCAGGGCAACATGAATATCAAATAGCATTGGTGCAGCTTTTAATTTGAGGGAGAAAAATCCTTGCCTTTGCTTTATGAAGAACTCCCACAAAGATGAGCTCAGCCTCTGGATGAAAATTTGCACACCATATATGGTTCCAGAGACTCACTCAGCACTTCACTCCCTCCCCACACTCAGATATTCTATACCATACCAATAGAGGCATGCGTAGAATTTGTCTTCTGGCTAGTGGAGTCTGCTACACAAGAAATGCATTCAGCCACAACAGATGCATTAGTAAGAGACAACACTTTCAAAACCAGTAAATATACATATACTGGTTGTGCAGCATGTTACACTGAAGTTGGGCAGCTGAAACTCTCCAGGTAGAGAATGAGATGAAATATCTGGGACATGCGCCTTAGCTCACTGAAGGAATTTCTGCTTTTATAAGACACAAATTCTAGTAGTTTTCGTTTTATTTCCATTCGACTTCCGTGACCTAAGTGAAGTTACAACTGAGAAAATGAGTTGTAAGTCAAGTCTTATGCCACCTGATTATTGAAGATGACATATTCAACATGAGAATACCAGGATATAATCTGCATTTCTGATGATCTGATCTGTGGTACTTGGCTGTCAGCGTCCTGCTTTGTTGCATTCACAGGAGTTGCATGGAGTCCTAGCACATCCCATATGAGCTCTCTGTACTGATTACAACAAAACTACTACTTTTCTTCCCGTAAGCACTGATTCAGGAGGTGTTCAGGCAGATGCATTACTTTGATCCTACCAAGTATGCCATTGCTATCAGTGGTACTATTCTTGTGCTTACAGATGTATTTAACGATTGGAATAGAAACCTATGCTGCCAAGATCTATTCCTCCAGCCCATCAGGTGTGTTCCTCAGCTTGTCAGCTGACTGTAGCATGAAGAGATAATTCATAGAATCATAGAAACATCAAGGTTGGAAAATACCTTTAAATCATCAAGTCCAACCCACAGCCCTACACCACCCTAACACTAAATCATCTCCTGAAGTGCCACATCCAGCCGTTTCTTAAACACATCCAGGGATGGTGACTCCCTCACCTCCCTTGGCAACCCATTCCAGTGCCTCATCACCCTTTTGGTAAGTTGAGCATGCTTTGCTCTGCTCAACAAAATGAAAGTTCACAAGGTAAGGAGCATTTGTCAGCAAGAATAAGCTGCAATTTTTTTTAACATTTTGATTACAGTTGCCAGCTGAGTTTAGCAGTGGAAAAAGTTGCCTGAATGATCTTTCTAAATCACATAATTTGTAGCACTAGTGATTACTCAGACTGGAATCTTCTTACACAAAACTTCTGATGGTTAACTAGGAATGCTGCATAAATAAAGATAGGTTTAGGATTAAATGCAAAGTGACACAGGGAGAATAATCAGCAAGTAAGAAATTATTGTTTCTTTGACAATTCAGTGGTGCATGGTTCAAAGGGAAAGGTTTTTGTTCTGGGCTTCCCCCTGAGAAACAATGGCATTGGTTTGTACTTCCCAGCTTTTGCCTAGAAACTGCCAGAGAGGAGAAGCCTCAGCTTCATCTCTTCCTACTCTTTCCACACAGCAGTGTCATGCTTTAAACAGTTGTGCCCTTTCTTATTCTTAATTTTCACTGGCACTGCATAGGTCCAGGGGACAGAATTGATCAGGTCATACACAGTTAGCTTGTCCATTATATGAAAGTTGAAAATCTGGGTGCACTTTTGGTCTGGACGATAAGCCTGAGTTCATTTGCGCAACCCCCGCTAGACTCCGGCCAAAGCTGATTCTGAATAGAAACAAATAAATTAACAACATACGGCGACATTTTGTGAAAATTATTGCTTTTTCTTCATTTCTTTCAAACACCTTGCAAATTTGATCTAAACTATCAGGCTACACTTACTGGTAAAACCACGTGACCATATTTAAAAAATTCAGGATTGGACCTTTATTAAGACAACAACAAAACTTAGTTTAGGTGTTCTTAAGAAAATAAAACTAAAAGAGACATTTGTCACTTGTGACTTTGAAATTGTCTTGAGAAAATGAGAATGAGGAGAACAAATCTTGATAGTTCCTAATATTTTAATCTGAAGCCTACTAGTTTTAGCAGTTTTCAGGTTATACAGGGAAGGAATCCAATTCTGAATGTCTGAGTCAGGCTCCAATTATCAAAAAGTTTCTAATTTGGATTCTTAAGTTTAGATATGCTCAAAACTGACAGGTAGATCTCTTGCTATTATTAAAAGCATCTGTGTTTGATGACTGATTTGCAATGTTTTGAATAATTAACTTTATGTTCGTAGACTTCAAAGCATAGAATCATAGAATCATAGAATGGCCTAGGCTGGAAAGGACCTTAGAGATCATCTAGTCCAACCTCCCTGTTGTGGGCAGGGACGCCACCTCTCGAGTAGACCTCTAGAATTAGAAGTGGTGTATAAAATGTGGAAAACAATACTCAATGGCAGACATAAGAACCTCATGTTAGGGTCCTATGAGCAAATATCTTTGGCCTAATTTATGTAACAACTTCAGCCTAATACCCTATTAGTAAACATGTTTGGCTTAGGGCGCCAGTTAGCTCAGTCAGTTGAGCATGGTGCTGATAAGACCAAGGTTGCAGATTTGTTTCCCCTTCAGTCCCCATTTGTTGCCTGATCTAGTTGAGATGCATCCCTGCCCGTGACAGGGAGGTTGGATTAAATGATCTCTAAGGTCCCTTCCAGTCCAGGCCGTTCTGTGATTCTATGATTCTATGATATATAACAAAACAAAATTCTAGCCTAAAGCCGTATAGTAGTCAAAGGATTGACTCGCCCTTAAAAGATTTAATTATAGTGCCAGGCTTGTAACAATATGACATTCAAAAAAATAAAAATCCAACCTCTAAATGAAATAGATACTATTGTTAAAAAAATCAGCCGAGGCATGTCCCTATAAAGGAAAAAAATTTTTTGAGTGGTAAGGATTTGGTAAAAATCACATCAGCACTATAACATACGCAGCATTGGCCAGCGTAGCTTTGCCAGAGCCAACGACATATTTGAAACAAACCAATGACTTCCTGTAAACCAAGCTCCTGAATGTAAAGATATAAGTCAAAATACATGTCAGGTCAAAAAAGATTCTCAACCAGCTCTAAAGAAGTGGATCTTGGCACAGAGCCAGCGCAATGAAGAAAAACCAGCTGAGAGACTGGAAATAGCACAGCTGCATTAACATGGCATGGCCAGGCTAATTAGTTCTATTAGTGGCACACTGCATGTTGTGGCTTAGACTTTAGTTCACAGAGGCACGTCTGAGCATCTTATCCCCCAGGCCTGAATATTTTCACTGGCACTCTTCATCAGGAAACATTACTATTAGAATCTCCTTGCATATTCACGTGTCAATACATGTAACGTACTAACGAGGAATGTGTTGAGATAGTTTTACCGATTTCTGTCAGCCATTTGGCAACAGCTCCATAAATTTCATCAAGTATAAGTATCACAACGAGGTTAATGATGACAGCAGTTGCGGTCACAGTCACTCGAACATTTGACCTGGTTGTCTCATTTGTGCTGAATGACAAAGCTGCTGCTGTTGTGATTCGGTATACAATCACACCAAACACTGCTGAAAACGTCAGCATAATCTGCAAAGAAATGTACAGATAGATTAGTTTAATTTGGATACTAGTGCTTAAACAGAAGCTTTCATTGATATGTTAGGTTTGTTCCATGAATTGGCATTGTGTAGTTATTTCTTAATCAAAGAATAATCAAGTTAAAATGTGAGAATCCAAAACTCCCCAACAGGGACATAATTGAGAAAATGAATGCAGAACTCTTAACTGGCAGAACAATTCCTGAATATGTGCAATATGACTGAAGGGTCTACATGTATGTGCAATCAAGTAAATAGGCTTTACTGGCTGAAACAGCTTCAACTTTGCACAACAGAAGTAGCACCTAACTCTCCATTTGTGTTTGCTCAATGTTTGCCAAAAAATTTTTAAAAAATTAAGAAAATGTTTCCCCTGTTATTACCCTTTTAAGATTGGCTTAAACAGGACTACTAGGGCTTCACGTTACATTTCTGTCCCAGAAATCAGTTGATATTTTGGCATGCTCCATGGACTGACTTTGACCCATGAGATGAGGGAAGTCAGCCCTGCTACTTAAGGTCAAGTTCCCACCAGAGGAATTTGAATTTCACAGGGCTGTCACATTCTGGTTTCAAAAAAAGCCCACCCCACGATGAAAATAAAAAAATCTATAAAGCAACAATAAAAAAACAGTAAATTTTCATAGTCATGGCAGGAAAGAGAGAGAGTACATGTTTGTCTTTCATTTTTGCTTTTCATTTTTGCCTTTGGCAAGAATTCCAATACACATTCATTATTTTAGGTAAAACATCTTGAGATCCTCAGATGAAAGAGACTGCCTAAATGTGAAAGATTATTATTTCAGTGGGCCTAAGGGGCCATATTCACAATGCAGGTTTAGGAAATTTAACATTTCTTTTTAATGATGCGGCAACAGTTTATTGAATTCTTATATATAGAGGAAGGCTGTTTTATGAAAAGTACTATTGCAAAAGAATCAGAAGAAGAATCAGAACTGTATTAGAGGCCAAATTTTGGGCATTTATTTTTTTTTTTTATTTAACAAAGGACTAGTAAACATACTAAAAAGTAACAATTTGGAGAAACAATCTGGGGCAGTCCCAAGCACAAATACAGTCTAGAGCTGAAGTGATTGAGACCAGTCCTGCAGAGAAGGACTTAGGGATGTTGGTTCATGAGAAATTCAATATGAGCTGGCAATGTGTGCTCGCAGCCAAGACGACCAGCCATATCCTGGGCTGCATCAAGAGAAGCATGACCACCAGGTCAAGGGAGGTGATTCTCCCCTTCCGCTCTTCTCTCATGAGATCCCACTTGCAGTATGGTCTTCAGCTCTAGAGCCCCCAGCACAAGAAGGACATGGATCCGATGGAGTGAGTCCAGAGGAGCGCCACCATATGAGGACAGGCTGAGAGAGTCCGAGTTGTTCAGTCTGGGGTAGAGAAGGCTGCACGGAGACCTTATTGTGGCCTTTCAATATATAGAGGGGGCTTATAAGAAAGACAGAGAGACACTGTTTACCATGGCCTGTAAGTGACAGGACAAGGGACAATGGTCTTAAACTGAAAGAGGGTAGGTTTAGACTGGATGTAAAGATGTTTTTTTCCAATGAGGGGAGTGAGACAGTGAAACAGGTTGCCCAGAGAGGCTGTGAACGTCCCCACCCTGGAAGTGTTCAAGGCCAGGCTGGGTGGGGTTTTGAGCAACATGGTCTAGTGGGAAGTTTCCCTGCCCATGGCAAGGGGCTTGAAATTAATGACCTAATGTCTCTTTCAACACAAACCATTCTGTGATTCTATGATTCAACGATTCTAAGAGTCATCAAGGACAATCATCAATAAACAGAGAAAGATGAAACTTTCAGGTCTGGAAGTTGAATAGCAAACTCTTAAACCTGACCAAGTGATTTAAGGGATCCATTGCAATAAGAAAGATTATTGAAAGATGAAATACTATCAGAGGCTTGCACTATTGTGGCCTTTTCTATTCACACAGTGCCATGGGAAGATACACAAAGTTGTCTGAAACTTATGTTTTGTTTGTTTAAAGAACAAAGATATTGGTTTTGCAAAAGCACCAGGGCTTCAGAAACTTCTCATTTTAAAACATCTGCTTAGACCCAGATGGAAAAACACTCCTTTAGGAGTCTTCATTATCTGTACATTCAGCAACAAGAGAAAATTGAGGAGGGCTTGTAGGATTGCACAGTAACTGAGATCATAGTTCTTACTCCCCTGATGGTCACTGAGAGGCAGTGCTTCCTATGTCTTCTCAGCATTTTTCCCATTCCTTACAATACCTCTTTCACCCAAATTCCAGATGAGTTGGTCACCTTTCAGTCAAGTGATTACTTTTGGTTTTGTTGTCATTGTCAACTTTTTGTCTGTCCAGTTCTATCCCTTACTATGCAGACAGGTTTGTGGTTTTTTTCACTGAACAGCTAAACTAGTCTGTCAAGGACTGAATTGCTTAGAAACAGATGTGAAAATTGGCTGCAGAAAAGGTCACCTACTGAGCCTGGTATGAATGAAGACAAACAGGAAAGCATACTAGATCTGAGAAGGAAGCTATAAAACCCCATGGACTAGACTGATACCTTCATCCAAGTAGGATAACAGTTTAATGTCCAAATACTTCTTTGGCTCCCCAGTGGGGCTATTCTAGAATCAAGTACTATGCCATGTGAGTAAGAACAGGGCAACAGGGTCCAAAAGAAGGAACAGGCTGAACTCTTGTACCATGACATTGATTGGCTTGCTTCCTTCCTCTGGCTGAGCCAGATGCAATGAACCCAAAGAAAGGCTCCAGCAATAGCATTGCTCCATGCCATCCTGCTTTCTTCCAGCAGCTACTAACGCTTTCATCACATACTTGAAAATCTTTGCTGTAAAATGTACCTACTAAATGCAGAGTTTCTAAACTGTGACATACGTTATTATTAATCACACACAATCCAAACTTGTATAGCCCTGGCTGAGTCTAGACCTCTTGCTACCGCTGGCCTTACTGGACAAAAATAAGACTTACTAACTTCTGTTCTAAAATCCCTGCAAAAGACATTGATTAAATCAAGGTTGGATCTTCTGCTTCCTCTGTAGTCACATGAGGTTTTGTGTACAACAAAAGAGCTATTACCAGATTTTAAAGCATCTGTAAATGTGTAAAATAATCCTTGGAATTATTTGGTCATCCAAACCACCAACACCAATTGGATAAGAGAATAAAGTTCAATTTTTTTTTCAACCTGCCCTTTTAAAGAAACAAGCAGCATACCTAACTTAACAAATACAGAAGGAAAGTCAGAAAGAAAAATATACAACACAGTTCTTGAAAGAGGGTTCACAAAAGTGAAGTAGACAAAAGAACGCACATGAAAAATAAAGAGAAAAGGTTTTACAATAAGAAAATATTAGCAGCTTCAAGAATCATCAGGGAAAGTACAGCATGTAAAGCTGGGGGAAGGAGGGACAGAACAGAGCAGCAGCATCCTGTAGCAATGTAGAGATCTTCATGGGAAATAACTGTATTAAGAATACAGCAATCACTTCTGCAATACTGGAAACTGCACCACTTTGTGTGTATCCATGTCTAAGTCTTTATGTCTGTGTGCTGTATATGTGCATATACACACATACATAAATTCAAGATTTCATCACCTACTACAAATGTAGTGCTTGCAGCTAAAAAAACAGTCAATGCGAATAGTAATAATGGAGGTAGATGAGACCAATTTAGTTTCCTCAGTGCAATTCTATTGCACAGACTGACAGCAAACTTTAGTCTGGTGTTTCCAATTCCTGTTTAAACAATCTAGGAGGGAAAAAAGAAACGTTACATACAGTAAAGACTAGATTGTAACCTCCACATGGGAAAACAGAGCTGGCTCTCCCTCACCAAGAGCTGACTTGAATTTCCTGCATGGTTTGCAAGCTGTCTCTTGTAGATGCTTATATCTTACAAATGTTCAAAATATTAAAAAAATAAAAAGTGGCTGCTTCTCCAAATGGTGGAAGCCAGTGTAATTCTACTAGTCACTAACAGAAGTTGAAGAATTGGAGCTCTACATTTTACCTTTATAAATCTCCCCGAGATGTTAGATTAAGCGGGGATTGTAATAAATAGGCTATGACTCAGGAAAGCACTTTAAGCTCATGCTTAGAGGAGATTTGAACATATGGTTAAAGTCAAGAGCACATGTAAGCACCTTGTCTGCAAAAGAATGACTTGTAAAAGCTAAATCAGGGATATATGCTTAGTCATACTCAGAATACTCTCCTTTACGCAGCTGATGCTAGTCAGAGGCTCTGTCTAAAGACGTATTAATACATACGTATTAATGAGACACCTAATATGTACAGAAAATATACTTAATACAAAATACATATATCTTCATAAATATATACACAAATATTATACATAAATATGTATAAAAATGCAGACATCAATTTGACTTCAATATGAATATGAATTTTTTCTGATTATCAGAAAAAGAAATTATATCTTCAAAGGACATCTGTTACAGTATATGTAATTCCAATAAATTAGAAATGCACTTAGATATTTTAAAACAATTTAGTCCTTAAGTGAATTTCCCTTGTTAGATACTCCTGTGGTGTAAACCACCATATTTCGTTGCTGTTTTATACTGGCTTTAGATGTGAATACATGCTTTCATTCAATTATTTCTGTAACCAGAAGGATAATGGGATCCTAGGCAATGTAATTTGAAGTTTGTTAGTCATGCTTTGCTATTGCAGTTTACAAAGTCTAATAGCTTGATGATGTGTTTATGGTCTGTTGGAAATTTTGTTAGGACCGTGGTTGTGGTGTCCGCACTTTACAGCTGGCCAACCTGCACACTTTATTCCTGTTCTCAAGTGAGGATTGCATACCATGGTCTTCCTCATCCATCCTTGAATGTGTGTCAGATACACACTTCTCAGCAACTTATTTATTTCACCTGTTCAGAAGGCTCATCACATCTGAACATGATTCTGACACAGCACACGCCATACCGTGCACACAAGCAAATATACAGTGGGCTTCCCTTCATCAAGTAACGGAGGACAGAATAGAAACCCTATGGCGAGAGACAGCATTTAGTAACGAGCTGCTGTCATTGCAGCAAGTCACCCAGCCAATGGCTCTCTCATAAGTGGCCTTTGGAAAAAGATGATAAAGCTGGAGGTAGGCATTGAGCTTTCTGAATTTTTCTAGTACAACACGTAATTCTCATGAATTGCATTTTAGAACTCTAGGTGTCCTCAAATTTTTAGCACCTTTGAGGACAGTAATTTAGGATTCTACTCAAGATGCTCATTGCAAAGTTTCTCACATCTCATAAATGAGCAGAAATGCAGATTATATTACCATAAATAAAATCAATCCAAAGTTTGCTGCATATCCAGGCATGCGGTCACTCCACGTCAGCTTCTCCTTTTCATCCTGTGACAAAACACAATGATAAGATAACAGACATTCAGAACTACAATAGCTAATATAAAAGTTAGCAAGACTTGGTATTTAAAAACTTTCTGAATATCCCTGCTACCGTTGTAATATTGGAGATGATTATAAGATTCAGCACAGTGACAAATGAGAGAAAGAGAGTAAGAGGGTAAATAAGACGTAGAGAAAGTGTCTGCAAAAATCAGAAAATGTCAAGTGTAACAATGATTTTAACATTTGAAAAAATGTCTTCTAAATGTCATAATATCAGGAGAAAGCCCTGAGATTCATCTCTACATTTAGGCAAAGTCAGGTTCAACCATTTATTTTTAATTGCTTCTTGTAAAACTTAAGAATAGCATTGGATGCAGAAATCACAAAAAATATGCTTACTGTCATCGGACACACATTTTTTGCCTAACTGTTACCTTAGTCAAACGTGGCCCCTGTAATAGTTCTTGAAAAGGCACCTCAATCTTTCTCCTGGTACATGGTCTACAGAAGAGAGAAACTACAAAAGCAATCCCCCTCTGCGATTTTTGCTGCCAGCCTTGTTTTCTTTATGTGCAAACAGCATCTCTCTCTTCATTGCATAATTTAAAGCAACTGTGATCTGTGAAATCTAGTATGCTTTTACTCTCCCCACACAAACTTAACTCCATCTCTAGCAACATGTACATCTAAAGAAGATAGTTGAAAGTGGATTTATATTAGAAATATGATTCTGTCCTCTCAAAATAAGTTTCTTAATAATAAGGTCATTACTCTATTTAAGTTAAACTAAAACTGTATAATCAGATTAGCTAAGGACACAGAGCCAGCTGCTCCCTGCATTTCTGTGAACCACTGTTGCTGTCCCATGGACTAGTACTTCACTTACATTGGAGCTAACTTAGAGCTATTCTGAATTTAAATGAATTAAAATCAGATTAGAACTTGGGTCAAAGGTTTCAAATAAACCTTCAAATAAACATTTCCAGGGCATAATTGTCCTCAGATAAAAACAAAATCTGGGAGAATTATGCTGTTGTAAAAGGCTTTCCCAAAGTAGCACTAGGAATACAATACATACTCCAAGTGCAGAAATGCAGCCATGAATGTTCTCATGGAGTTTACTGGGATGTAAAATTAGTCCAAAGACATGATCCTGTCTACACATCCAACACTATTGTGGTGGTGCCTCTAACGCTGCAGGAAGTAATGTTACTCAGCATCTCGTCTTCTCAGCTCAGCTGTTCAAGCAGACAGGTTAAACACATCCCCTTTGGGAGAATGCTGGCAGGACTGGGCCATCACAAACCCAAGCAGAAGCACATATAATTCAGCCCAGCATATACAGCACGTAAATAGTCCATACAGTACATAAACGGAGTCCGTCATTTAGCTGGAAGGTTACTTTAAAAGGCTACTTTAGCTGGAAGGCTACTTTACTCTTTCACTTCTGCGAAAGCACAGATGCATTTCATTTTGGCTTTTACCACTCAGCAATTATACAGGACATAAAGAAGGTCTAAGGGATTATACTCCACAAGAGCCTGAAGGACACCATATCTAGCAATTTCACTAGGGGAAAAACACTAAAGAAGCAAAACAACAAAACGAGTTAATGCTAGCCAGAGCAGCTAAAGGAAAGAAGAAAATCTTTTATAACCATACTTAGGTGGAAGGAGAAAATTGTGACTGAAATAAAAGGGCCAGCAGCAAAAATGACCAAGAAAATTACTTAGTTAAGTGTCTTTAGCAAAAGAATTTTGGAAAACAAGAAATCATAATATAAAGATCAAACTTTCACATAACATGAATAATGATCACCATATCCTGAGTGGAAAAGTGACTAAGGTTTTTCATATTTTTTTTTCCAATATTTCTAGTGGTCTAAGACATTTACTGTATATTGAAACATCAGCCAGGATTCTGACATGACCTACTCGCTTTCTAAGTTGAGAAAAAAAATCACATGCTGGAGGATTCCTGACAACACCCCATCAACTTACAAAACTGAGAAATCAGGCAATACCTTAAGAAACTACTGTCCATTATGAAAAAGAAATAGCTATTTGCCCCACTCCTTTTTTCTTTTTTTTTTTTTTTTTAGTAAAATAGAATTGGATAAGTACAGAAAAGAAGAAGAAAAAGTAGGAAAATTGAGCAATGATTGACATGTACTTTAGAGATGACTAACAGAAACTAAGGTGTGCCTAAGCCAACATTTTTAGGCATTAAGAGACATTAGGATTAATTCAGTAAAGGTTGCAACTTCAGAGGAGTTTAAGAAGTGTAGTTTTTGAACTATTTGCCCTCTTTAATCTCAGCATGTATGTTAAGAATGCAGAGGCATCTAGCATCACCAGTCGTTTTGGAAGCCCTAGGTTTAGCACCTGAGCACTTGTTATAGAGAAATTATTGTTTTTCAAAAGCACTTTGTGCCTGAGGAGTTCAACACAGTAAGTTTCTAGGAAAAAAAAAAAAGAAAGAAAAAAAAAGAAGCATAACTGATTCTTAAAATTTCAAGTTATAATGGGGAAAAAATTAATGAAATATAGACTGCCTCAAAAAAAAAAAAAACCCAAAACCCCAAACCTTGCTGAAGAGGAAAAAACCAGTCCCTTCTCTTGTGGTGAGTTGACATTGGCTGGCTGCCAGATGCCCAACCAGCTGCTCCCTCATTCTCCCTCCTCAGTAGAACAGGGGGAGAAATCAAGATGAAAAACCTTATGAGTTCAGGTAAAGACAGAACGATAATTTACCAATTGTTACCATGGGAAAACCAGACACAGCTCAGGGAAAATAAATTTAATTTATCACTATTTAGATTTGGATGGTGAGACACATAAACAAAATTAAAAACTCCCTCCATGTCACCTCCCTCCCAACTTCTTCCCAGGGCCATTCGCCGCAGCACTTAGGCACGCTGTTCAGATCTCCCTTTGGCTGAGTTGCTATGCCATTCTGAGAAGAAAAAGCTGTATGAAAATGTTACTGAGTTAGACAGCATACACGACACAAATCAAGTTCTGAAATTTAAATCAACATAGTGGGCAGCTGGAAGCTACTTTCTGTTATGGCTCTTGCTAAGAAACTCCAATCTGTAAATTCGCTTAGTATTTTCTATCTCACCTGATTCTACTCTCTGGCAACAGTGCCATCTAGCCGCTAAAAGACTGTACTGTGAGGTATCCAGAACACCTTGACCACGACCAGAATATTATGCTTGCACACTGCAAAAAGTGTGGTTTATTGTAAATCAGTGGAATTAATTCAGAGATTTATCATACGATACAGCAAATACCCCATTCTAATCAATAATGTGCATTACAGAACATTGCCCAGATTTTAGCCAGGGGTAGGAAAGCTTTCCTGAAGGTCAATAAAAATGTAGCCAAGCAGGTAAGGTACATATCTCGAGCAGTCCAAGGGGTGATTTGATTTAAAAAGATAAAACTGATCATCTGAGGAGCAATCTCAATCACAGATATGTTACACTGTGGAATATTCCCCAAGAGAAACTGTATTGCAGGGAAATATTTATATGCAGAACGGAAATATAGATTATATTTTTGTGGTGAACAACACAAACTAAAAGATACATTTTAAAATATTTATTTCAGCTTCTTTAATTACAGTGATATATTTGTAATTATATTGAAGAAAAAAAAATTGGTTTTCTGTGTGTAGTGATGTATTGCTGTTTTAATGTTTAATGTGGTGTTGAATGTGTTCCAGGCAGGAATACAATTCTTTCCTATTAAAAAATAAAATTAAAAAAAATCAGGAAAGGAAAAAAAAATTAACCACCATCAAGGCTTTTCTGGGTGGTTTATTTCCTTATGAATTACCTAACATGGCAAAGATCCAACATGTGGAACTCTGCATCCTCAGGTGGGCCTCTGAGCTGTGGAAACCTGGAAATATATTGCACTTGGACAGCACCGAGCAGCTTTGTGAAAACACTTCTATGTTTCTCTCTGAATTAAACCACAGCCAGTTTGCTCAGATCACGAGTATTTCAGTTATTTATTTATATTTTCCCACAAGAGTACACCTCCTCAGAGCAGGTGTTTCTTACCATCAGTCATGCCAGCTCAACCTGCACTTGGGGAGTAAAGCAACAGACTTTCTCGCTTTTGCATCCTGCTTCACAACTTCAGTTCTGAAATTCAGGCTCTTCAGAGCAGTTGCACCTGCGTGACTCCAATGACTTCTCTGGACTTTCACAGAGCTGCAATAATTGACTAGAACTTAGTAAAAGATGGTCAGGAAAGAAGAAAATGCAGGACTCCTCTCTCTTGGCTTCCTAAGGTCTTGTATAGCTAGCAACAGCAAAAGGCTGCAAAATTGTATTTCCAACTACAAAATCCAGACATTTATCTATAAGTATGACCAGGAAGCATCAAACAGGTAAATGTCATTTTTATAACTGCACTTTTCTTAGTAGAAAAAAATAAAAAAGCTTGAATTTGTGTAAAAACTGTGCTGTCCAAATGAGCTTCTAGAAACAAGAACTGTGGTATCAAATAGAGCTCTTCCATATTTGCATAACAGCTAAAGTATTCCATGTGTACTACAGACTCAAGGAATGAAGTGAGCTGCTTCTGAAATAAAGGCTCTCTGTACTTTTACTTTGTGCATGAAATAAGATAAAAGGCAAGGAGAAAAGTATAATTCAGAACTATTTGGAGGTTAAAAGAAAGTAAGAGCCAGAAAGAGCCTCCAATGCAGGTAGTTATAGAAGACAGTCAATTCCAGGGTGGCAGCACAAAAGGAGGCACAATCAAGGCATATCAGCATTTCTAGGATCGTGCGGTGGCCCAAAGTAGTAATTACGGCTAATAAGCTCTTGGGACAAGTTCATGGGATTGTTCCAGCCTGTATTAGGGACCAGTAGCCCTTAAACTTCGGAGAGGAGAGACAAAACTGCTGCCACCCTAGGCACGTGCTAAGGTCTGCCTCTGGCCCAGTCTGAACCCGTCCATAGGAGTTTTACCTTCACACTCCCA